AGAATGTAAACAATTATAAAACCTAACTTAAGTTAATAAAAGTTAAGCAATAATGTCTAAGAATTAGTATAAACAAAAAAAAAAAAATAATGTAAAAAAATATTAAACCTTATTTAAGTTAATATAAGTTAATCATGAAATGTTTATTCACAATTGCAAAAAAAGAATGTATAAAATAAATAACCTACCTAATTTAAGTTAATATAAGTTAAATATCAATTGTTTAGACACAAGTTCAAAAAAAAAAAAAATAATGTAACAATATATAACCTACCTAATTTAAGTTAAAACAGTCGAATCGTGATAACTTGAAGTTGAAGGGGGATAATAATACACTTCAAGATATGTATTATTCAAGATACCTGACTCAAATTTATCAAAATTAAATCCATACTGGGAGTTATGTAATGAAATATAATAGAATATAAAAATTTATGATAAATATTTCAATAAATGTTTTACAAAAACTCGAGCAAAAACTAAAATAGATATAATGGTATTATAAGTATGTAAATTAATATGTATTATTTATTTATCAATTTGTGATACAATTGGTGGAAAAGGATAACCGGAAAAAACAAGACATCACGAAAGAATTTAATATTCCACCAAATACGCTGTACACATTTTTAAAAAATAAAGCGGTTATTTAAAAAAAAATTTTGAAGACAAAAAATGTGATAATAAAAGGTCGAAACCAACCATAAATCGAAATGTAGAGGTATACTGATTCAAATAGTTTACTCAATGTAGAGATACAAACATACCTATAAGTGGACCAATACTAAAAGAAAAAGCAGAATATTTCGCAACTCAAATTGGTTATTCTAATTTTAAAGCAAATCAAGAGTGGTCAGTGAATAGGAAAAATTGTTTTAACATATTTTTCTGTAAAATATGTGGTGAAAGTGCTTCTGTAAACGACTCTTTACTTAATGAATGGTCAGAAAATTTATCTAACATCATAAAAGAATATTCTCCCGATGATGTATTAAATGTGGATAGACAGCATTGTTTTTTAAACTCCTACCCGATCGCACTTTTCTTTTAAGATCGAATATGTCAGGTTCCGAAAAAATTAAACCACCTAAAATTGGGAAATCAAATAAACCACGATGTTATAAAGGAGTTTAGAGTTTACAATTAAATTATTAGTCAAACAAAATGGCATGGATGACTGGTGATTTATTTAAAAGTTAGCTTGTAAAGTTTGATCAAAGAGTGCGACTAAACCATGATGAGCCTGAAAGAACTTTACATATGATAACGGCGAACCAAGCAATATATCATCACTAAAAACGTTTAGGAAATTTGTTGAATCTGTCGCAGGCGTGTATACTTCTATATTTGAAACCATAGGAAAACTAGAAGATTTTGTCTACAAACAATAAATATTGAAATTGTGTCAGCTATAGTTAAATGATTTAATTTTAATTTTTGAGGCATGTTTACAAACATACAAAAATACACACAATAGACACGACAGATAGACATATACTACCGTACATACATGGGTATTTATTGTTATTATGCATGCGCTAATAATCAGTTTTTATCTGCTTGTTTAATCTTCAAGTAGATGAAACAAAATATTCGAGATACCCAGATATCACAGATATAATAATATACTTCGACTAAGCTATTCTTCACAATTTTATATTCGAGTTAACAAGACTTATTAATACATCGAGTGTTATGAGAATTTCTAGAAGAATAAAAAAAAAATCGAGTTGTCAAGTGTTTCAAGTTATCGAGGTTTGAGTTATCGCGACCCGACTGAATAAGTTAAATATCAAATGTTAGACACGAGTTCAAAAAAAAAAAAAAAAAGTAATGTAAAAAAATATAAAACCTAATTTAAGTTAATATAAGTTAAACATAAAATGTTTAGACATATATTCAAAGAAAAAAAAATAATGTAAAAAATATAAAACCTAATTTAAGTTAACCCTTTCAGTCTTAAATTATGAAATGGGTAAAGAAAAATATTCAAATCAAGAAACCTTATTTTTAGAACATTGTAAATCTAATAAAAAAAGTTGGGAGTACTTTTACCTATTTTTGCCAAAATGGAAGGGTTGTCCATTACAATGGATTATGATTATGACTCGAGGAAAAAAATGACATGAGAATAAAATGTTTAAGTTTGGTACTTAATAAAATGTAATTCAACAATTCAAATAGGTATATAAAGTATAAAATATGATAACAATTTTTTCATTATAACAATAGCATTTATAAATTAATAATAAAATAATTTTAGTATACTATCCCTTATAATAACAAAACAAAACTTGAACAATTTTCTAAAATTAAGTATAACTGAATAATATTGAAAAAAATAATATTAAAATACTATTTTTCTTATGGTAATATTCCATTTATAAAAACAAAAACAAATTTTTAAAATCAAAAGTAACTGAACAATATAAATTTAATATAATATATTATAAATTATCTATTTATTATATATTTATAAAAAAAAAAAATAGTTGAATACATTTACTTATTATGAAATTCGGTAAAACAATTTTTTTTTTTACTACAAAACATAAATGTACTTTACATTTTAAACAATACACATATGTTTTACCTTTACAATTTGTATTTTTACACCTAGTTGCTTCATTTTTATCATCAGGTGCTGGATAATGACCTATATGGTCAGTTTTAGTCTCATAGAAAGGTCTAACTTCGCTTAAGTTGTACTTAGCTCTAGTTGGTGAAGGTGATGGTGAATTTTCTAATGAAGAATTTTCATGAGGGTGGCCTCTTTGTTTTTTGGGAGTATTGACATTTCCTATATTTATTAAGTTGTCTGCTAGCCTTAATCGGAATTCTAATAAATCCATTCTGTCTTTATTATGAATATTTAAGTTTTTACAGTCCAGATAATACTCCAACCAAGAATTGGTGATAGCCATATCCACTGCATGAAAAACTATTCGTAAAGTCCATTTTTTGGACTTTAAAAATATTCTGTAGTAATTTATGAGT